AAATGAACACATTTCCTGTAGCTTTTGTGAACTAGAAATCCACCTTGTGATATGCAAGTTGCAAAAAGCTGATGTGGTTGTTTGCACTACACAGACTAACATGATTTCACCTCCAGTTAAATATTCTTCCCTGTTGTAGGGCATATCTACCTGACACATTTAAACTCAATTGAAAAACAATCTTAATAGTCATCGTTTTTGCATTTGTCAGAGATCAGTGCTGCCTTGTACAGAACTACAGTTCCCAAGGATCCTTTGTGTGGGAGCCATGATGGTAACAGAGACTTGAAATTGGTTCAGAGTTGTCAGAGAGACAAGCCTTCATTTTTGCATTCAGTTTAGAAGTGGGTGTCGTTGGCTTTTTAACCCCACATGGACAACACATTGTTCCCCCCCCCTTAACACTAAAGCACCACTGCGCTTCCATTGCATGATTAATGGTGTTCTCTAGAGAACCTCTCATTATGTTCCAGCAGGTGTCTATCTGTGCTGTGTGTCTGCAACAATGGGAAACGAAGCTGCTTAGTCACACCCAGGAGGTCTTCTGCATACAGGCCTCCTTCTGTCAGTACCTTTCCCTGCTAGGAGTTGTAAATCACAGCTAATTCAAAGGAGGGATGTTGGAATTCATTTGCTGATGTTTTTCTTTAAACTGTTGGCAGATGCTTTGGTGGAAGATGTTATAAAAAGACTAATTAGGAACTGAATGCCACTCAGATGGGTTGTCATAAATTCTGCTGTAGCTTCTGTAAGAACAAAATCTTCACATCAAAGAGCAAAATCGCTGCTTTAAAAAATCCACAGGAATACCAATCCCAAATACTTTTTTAAAATTTGTTAACAGATTTCTTATCTTTCTGGTCCAGTACAGATAAAGGACACAATTCGGCTAATATGAAGCCCACAGATTTCAATGGGAGGGTTATGCTTGTGTTTTAAGGCTATGATTCCAGTCATTCCAGGCCACTCATCTTTTGCACAGAAATCAGTATGACCCCAAAATGCTTCACTTTGGGCTGGATTATGCTCAAAGTGTTATTTTTGTTTAGAAATGGGATAATTTGTTTATCCTTGCAATATACTTGAAATGATAATCATACCTGCTTTAGAGGCATGGTCTAAGCATCATTTCATGTTCGGCCCAAGGGGTAACTAGAGAGTTCTGTGATCAGATTTCCCACCTCCAGGGGTGTCTCTTCATAAGCAACCTGGGGTGGGGAACCAAAATGACCTTGAGATGCCAGGCTGTGAGGATGAGTTAACCCTTGCCCTATGTTATTTTCCAGTTGTAAATTGCCTCCAGGAAACTCCTACATGTCTCAACGTGGGGAATTATCAGACATGGCAAATAGCAACGTGGG